ACCGGCTGTCAATTTACCAAGCAATGAAGAAGAACATGATCAGACCAGGTACTGCCTTTGAGCTCCTTGAGGCTCAAGCTGCAACAGGATATGTAATCGATCCTATTAAGAACCTGAAACTTAATGTCACTGAAGCTGTTAAGATGGGTGTTGTTGGCCAAGAGTTTAAAGATAAACTCCACTCAGCTGAAAGAGCCGTCACAGGCTACAAAGATCCTTACTCTGGCAAGATCATCTCACTGTTCCAGGCTATGAAAAAGGGCCTCATTCTGAAAGACCATGGCATTCGTCTGCTAGAGGCTCAAATTGCTACTGGTGGAATCATTGATCCACAGGAGAGCCATCGCTTGCCCGTTGAAACAGCATATGAACGTGGCCTCTTCGATGAGGAAATGAATGAAATCCTCACTGACCCATCTGATGACACAAAAGGCTTCTTTGACCCCAACACTGAGGAAAATCTCACCTACCTGCAGCTGATGGAGAGATGTATGACAGACCCAGAAACAGGCCTCGCTCTTCTGCTGCTGAAAGAAAAGAAGCGTGAGAGGAAGACATCATCCAAGTCTTCCGTTCGCAAACGTAGGGTCGTCATTGTCGATCCAGAGACGGGCAAAGAGATGTCTGTGTATGAGGCGTACCAGAAAGGGCTCATTGACCACCAAACCTATCTCGAGCTTGCGGAGCAGGAGTGTGAATGGGAGGAAATTACCATCACCTCATCGGATGGTGTTGTGAAATCCATGATCATTGACAGAAGGTCTGGTCGGCAGTATGACATTGATGATGCAATCTCAAAGGGCCTGATTGACAAGTCAGCTTTGGATCAGTACCGTGCGGGAACTCTGTCCATCACAGAGTTTGCAGACATGCTGTCTGGAAACATGAGCGGTGTCCGATCACGTTCATCCTCCTTTGGCTCCTCTTCCTCCTACACCATGAGTCCAATACCTTCTATTAAAACACCAGCAACAACATGGAACGACCCAACAGAGGAAACCGGCCCTGTGGCTGGAATCTTAGACACAGACACTCTGGAGAAGGTGTCCGTCACAGAAGCCATACACAGAAACCTTGTGGACAATATAACAGGCCAAAGGCTGCTGGAAGCTCAGGCCTGCACAGGAGGTATTATCGACCCAAATACTGGAGAGAAATTCTCTGTTGCAGATGCAATGAACAAAGGGCTTGTGGATAAAATCATGGTGGACCGCATCAGTCTAGCCCAGAAGGCGTGTAATGGATTTGAAGATCCCAGAACCAAAACCAAAATGTCAGCAGCACAAGCTCTAAAGAAAGGCTGGCTCTACTATGAGGCTGGGCAGCGATTCCTCGAGGTCCAGTATCTCACTGGTGGATTAATTGAACCAGAGGCTACCAGCAGAGTCTCCATAGACGAGGCTGTAAAGAAGGGCACCTTAGATGCACGCACTGCACAGAAGTTACGAGATGTTAGCGCATACTCAAAATACCTCACGTGCCCTAAAACCAAGCTTAAGATCTCTTACAAGGATGCTATGGAAAGAAGCATGGTAGAGGAGGGAACTGGTCTGCGACTACTTGAAGCGTCATCTCAATCCAGCAAAGGCCTCTACAGTCCCTATAGCATTAGCGGGTCAGGCTCCGCTACTGGGTCACGGTCCGGCTCAAGAAGTGGTTCCAGGTCCGGCTCCAGAAGAGGCAGCTTTGATGCTACCGGATCCAGTTTCACGACAACCTTCTCTTCCACTTCCTACAGTTCACCGAGCTATAGCCGCCGATACTGATGAGTTTGAAAGTTAAGGAATGGTTTTCAAAGGGAAGGATACACTATAAAACCACAGTGTTCACCAGATGCCTAATTCTTAGTGGAATAAGGACTACCTTTATTCTGCTCTGCATGTGGTTGTTACTGGACTTTTAATATTTAATTTTTTACAAGTTGAATAATTTTGTTTACTGTATATTTCACATTTACTTTTAGTTATGTTTATTCTATCTTATCAGACTTTCTGATTACCGTACTGTAGGCAGCATATGCAAGAGCTGTTTATTATATACAATATGTATCGCAAAAGTTCCAAGCATACATGACTTGATTTTATTTTGGGATTTTTAAAGTTTAATATCATTTACTATTCCAAAAACTGGATTATATTTACAAGTTTGTTAAACTACAACCGGAACAACATTGCCATTAGCCTGATTTTTAAGGAGAACCAAATTGGGTGTACAAAGAAAGCTTTCTGTACATGTGTATATTTCTGAATATAACAAAGGTTAGCTAAAGAAAGATAAAGCCACTCTGCAGAGCAGAATAAGTAGTCTCTCCCCCCCGAACATGAATAAACTACAAGATTGTCTGCTTTAAGAACGCCAAGCTTCAAGATCTTTTCTCTGCTGGGCTACACTGCCACATACTCTGCCAATATCTGCTCCATTCCTAAATGTCTGTCATGCAACTCGGAGTTACAGCAACATGCTAACCTTGTGAAATCAACCTTTAAAGAGCAAGATCCCCAAAATGCAAGGATTATGTAGCCTATAACGACACCATTAACACCATCTGACAGTTCTGGACTTTACACATCCAATCTCAAGACCAACACATACAAGCCTCAGCTTTTCCGGACACTTTACAAGGTAGGTTAAGAGAACATTTACATTTAAGATTTACATTTAATCACAATTTAGTGGCTATTTCCTGTCTGTGAAGTCCTGAAGTCTAATGTTCTTGTTCAATGTTGAATTTATGTTTCAGATATGTCAGTTCATGTCATCTCCAGATGTCTTCCAGAGACCTGTGGCATTACTTTAACTTGTGACCTTCACTGTAATCAATCATTTTATGCAACAGTACACAAACACACTGGCTCATACTGCTCATACTACTTATTTCATCAGATTATTTTAAAAAGGTGGACCATATTGAAACTTGCATCTAATCTTGAACATATATTTAAAAAAAAGGCCTAAACCATGCTTTGTAAGTGCCTGCAAAATACTCTTAAACACTTAAATGGGATGTTGAGTATTATAAGATGGTGCAGTGGTTTCACTGTAAACTGACTGATGCATGACTTCAAGTGCAATGCTACTCGTAATGGTATGATTACTGTGTTATCAGGTAAGCCTTTTTACAGTCCAACTACAGTATGTCACAATATAACTTTAAAATAATAACAAGTTTGTTTCACTGTCAACAAGATTTACATTATTTGAATATTTTTCCCCATCAGACAAGTATTGTAATGTAAATTATGTACTGTATATTGATGAATATGTAGAACACTAATGCTAAAAGCCATTACTTAACATTTCTTTGACAAAAGATCTTAAAGCTTTGCCACCAGACCCAGTATTTGTATTTTCCACCACATATACTTATGATTTTAATCTCCTTTGTAAAGCAACACATTCAATCTATATCATTTTATTTTCGTACTCTATATTTCTGCTTTGCATGATTTACTAACATTTAAAAGAAAAAAAAGGTGCAAACATGAAATAGATGTATCCATTAAAGCATTTTGTTTTATTATTACGTTTCAAAAAGGTTTGAAGGATGTATTTTAATGATGGTTATCAAGCCTTGGTTAAAATGGTGTATTTATAATAAAATGGTGACAAGGATTTTATTGTAACACCTTATGCTATGTAAATAAACATGGAAATGAAATGTTTACTCTCAACTTCATTATTTGTTGCATTTAAATCTGATTCAGATATGTCTTTGAGATTATATTACACACTATTAATTTGAATTAACACAGATTACCATAGACAGTTTTTGGGGGGGGGCTGTTATTGTCTTTAATTGATAAAACCTGTGCTATAAGGGGCATTTTTGTTTTGAAATCAACATTTTTCTGGCATCATTTCATAATCTGCAAAATTCAGTGTTCAATTCAGTGTTAATCTGTATATCGCAGCACAAATTACAGCATAGAGAAAGACAATATCTTATGTGTATTATATCTCCCTCAGATTAATGAACCAGGAAATGCAGTAGAAGACTGACATCTAGTGTCTCTGCAGTTCAACTCCAACCATCCACTGATAGTCTGTACACACAAGGTTTAAATAACTCTGAAGAACACATTAAGAAGAAGATTATGTTCCTTGGGCAAAGGCAGTAAAATCATGTGAAAATACTCCATTACAAACAGTAGTACTAGTTACAGTACAGACGTATTATCAGTGAAATGTACTCAAGGTATTAAAAGTAATTCTCATTAAACAGAATCGCACCTGTCCAACCTTATACTTGTATTATTATCACTGTTACTTTGTAAGCAGCAGTTTAATGTTGATTTAAAGTCCAAATGAAACAGAAATCAGAGTGATGTTTGCTTCCACATATTAACTTATTTTCTGTAAAAACAGGCAGCTAAGGA